GTCATACACACACACACACACACACACACAAACACACACACACACACACACACGTACAGACCATCAGTTTGTTCTTTACCTTTTCTGCAACCTTAAAAAAGCTCTGCACATTCCAACACGTTTATTAGCTGTAAACTATAATGATATGAATATAGTGATGAAACACGTCAGTATGTGTTGATACTGACATTTCTTAAAATTAAAGATAAATGTTGTGAACATCTTGAGTCCTCAAGTCCCGCCTCTCTCAGGTCCTGTTCTCTGGAATCTGAAACTGTTCTCACTTTTAAATATCTGTTGACTCATCACTCGCAGGAGTTTGCTACAAGTCAAATATAAGATGGTTTGTGTCAGTAAAAGAACCGATGTATGTCAAGTGCTAATTTTTCTGTTAAGTTCAGTTTTAATTAGTTGTTTGATTGAATTTGTTATTTGACCAATGTGACAGGACTTAGATACCGCAGCTCTATACCCTGATCGCTACTGTGCAGACTCTGGCCCCAAATACGTTTGTATACAGGATACTTTGTTTTTATAGTGGGAAGAAGTAGAAACATGTCATCCATCATTTCTTCCAGTCTATGCGTTCATGCCTTACTTAGTATTTTCAGTTTGGGCAAAATTAGGTCTTTCGACAGCTGTAGAATCATCATCTGACTCCTCCTGTGGCTCTGCAGTGGTCTGGTGTGGTAGCCCCCTCTATAACCACAAACTGCGGTGTACATTTGCAATTTTCACCACAGTGCCATTCTGAGTGCACGAGAGCTCAGAGAGCTGCAGCTCTGGGGCCGGAGCCACCAGCTTAAAGTGATGCGGCTCATGACCACCATGGTCCTCCACCACACTGATGTCGGCTTCAGGGGTTCCTGAAGGGGGGAAAAGACCTCCACCTCCAACGAGCCCTGTAGCAGAGGTGCTTTGCAATTTTCTGTGTCGCTCTCCATTATCCCCTGCAGCCTGGGGAGATCACTGAGCAGCTCTTACTTCACATCCAAGCCCCCTCGACTCCCCTCTCAGCCCCTGGCCCACTTCTTACCACTTCTTTTTTAATTATGGAGTAGCTTAGAGCTGGGGTGAACTTACATTTTTAAAAATTAGATAACCAGAGAAAAAGCTACACAGACACACACACATACATGTTGGTGTAATAAGTAGAAGTAAAAGCCTAACTCTAAATGCTGGTCATTTCTTAAACACCACAATCTCAATAACTTTTTGTTTTTGACTTTTCTCAATGTTCAATGTAGTTTCCTCTTCACTTCCTCCCCAGTCCCCCTTTGTTTCCTTACTTCTTTTTTCCTCCATCTCTTTTTTCGTTCCTTAAGTTTTGATGACTTCTCATCCTGCAGGCACAGGTGGGAAATTAACATCAGCATCACAGCGAACACACAATGCTTCGCCGAGGGCTTGTTTCCAAGGCAATGTGTTTTCAGATTTAATTTTTTTTTATCACGAGCTGCCGTGCCAGGTTTGAAAGAGTATTCCTGATAAAACTCTGACGGTGTTCTGTCGCTGCTGCAGTGAGATGTTGGTTGTGGATTTCTGGTCTCAAACCCACACAAAATGAGTCAGTTTCAGAGCATTGATTTAAAAGCATTTACAGACAAATGACAAAACTCTCGTCTACCTCATTAAAATCAAAGAGCAGCCACAGAACCCACACTCAAGTAGAACTGCATAACACAAAGAGTTTAATCTGGAAAATCATTATTTCTATAATTTTCTTTTCTCAAATTATTTTCCTTTCCTGGCTACAATCAGTTCCAGACCCTCCATCCATTCTTCCACAAGTTCCTCCAATCATTCTTCGATGGCGCCCACCACTCAAAGTGTTTGGGGCCTTCCTATGTTTAAACAATAACACAATACAGTTCTGCAGAAGCATCGCCTGTGCCAGTGTGAGACATAAACATAACATTACCTATCTGATAATCACATTCAGTCAGAATAAACACACAAACATGAGAATGTATAAAGTGAAGAATGAGATGTTTTAATTTGTTTTTCTATCCTGTAGAAATGTGATCTGACCTCATTTGTTCTTACGCAGGAATCCTGTCTAATGTATGTGACACTGGTGTTTTTACTTTTGCTCTCAGCTCTGTGGGTCCTCGTAAAACAAGAGAGGTTAAATGTTTAAGGTTCTTATTCGAACGTAGATTTCTTATTTGGGTTTCTGGATTGAAAGTGTTCATCACTGCTGCATCCAGCAGTTTTCACACTGTCAATGAGAACCACAGAAACCTCAGATGAGCCCTGCTCATCATGTTACATCTGTTCAGAGTCAGAGTTCACACAACGCTGCTGCTAATCATCACAGTTACCATGATAACATTGATGATCAGTATTATCATGATCATATTATTCATACAAAGGACATATGCTGCTGGCACATTCACCCACTCACACACATTCATACAGCTGCTTTGTTTCACGTCCCACTGCGGAACGCAGATCCACAGCCACTCATGAACATTTCACCATGCCAGGGTGGATCCAGGGACTGGGCCATGGGCACCAGCCCCAGTTGAAATCTGATTGACCCCTGGAGTGTCACAGTCCTAGTGACTTATGAACAATACTATAAACAATTTGTAAACATTTTTTATTTTCTAAGCTTTTTTGGAGTCAAAATAAAATCAATGATTTGTGGCTTGACTCAAAGCTATAGCACTAACAGTAAACAAAGAATTGGTTGAATATGCACCTTGCTGAATGAAGAAAGGTGCATGAACAGCCCCTCTGTGTAAATTGTGGCCCCTTTATGGCCCCTGATTCAGCAAAATCCTAGATCTGCCGTCGCACCAAGGTACAGGTCTGTTTTTAGGTCAAGAGCTGAAACTTAGTGACGACAGCTCTGGTTTTAACCATCGCTTCCATCATTATCACTGTGAATCTCGCTGTGCTGCTAAATTACAGCAGATGCCCCGGTGTATCCCACCTCAGGGGTTTTAAGAATTGGGAAGTGAGAGGAAAAGCCAACACCTTCGACAGGATGCTCAAGAGGAAGAGGATGGAAAAAGTGCTGAAAATACTCTGCAGTGAAAACATGTGGACGAGGTGTGGACCAAATGTTTGAGAGGACAGATGGGATCAAAGTGTTTTCCTGTAGGTTTGATCAACACCAGGATCAGAACCACTAACCCACATTTCTCGGGAGACTTCTGTTTAAATGCACCTGTCTTGGGTAAATCTATATATAACATCTAAATCAGCAGATGTGAAGTTTTCATTTTCTTCTTGTCAGCAAGTTCCATGAAAAGACCAAAAGCAGCGATGAATTCATCAGCCTGACGACGCCTCTCACTGTAGCCAAAGCCCAATAAATCGAATTCCTCTGTATCATCGACCTTCACTGTTATTCAAAAACAATTTCATTTTGAACAACAATTTCAATTCTGGCGAGACAAATCATCGTTGTGATGAAAATGGGCAGTGTAATTTATTTGGGTCAGTCCCACATACACCATCCTGCTGCCCTCAGCCCTCAGTAACACATTTACAGCTGGAAATATTTACACAATGGATTAAATAACAGTATGTATGACAGCAGATTACTCTTTATCCAATGGCCCCTGTAGCTTTTGTCAGACTTAAATCATAATCTTCCTCATCCTAAAATTCTTCTTTTAGAAATATATTTTTTTGTGGTTAATAAATATTTTATGGTCAACTGTAGAGGATTTATTTGATCTCATAAAATGATCCAACAGAATTACCAGACATATAATCAATCCGTCCATGTGTCTACGGGGACACATCGTAGCACCACACAACATAATATCTGTATCTGTGACACCATCATGTTGTAATGGACTCCTCCTTATGACAGCTCTGTCCTCCAGGAGGAGATGAAGGTTTTGAAAAGGCCATGTGTGAGTGGTCAGCTGCAGGAAAATGTCCTGCACCTGCTAATAATAAAAATATATGAACCCCAATGAACATTAAAATAATTGCACAGCTTTTTAAGCACATTGTAAAATAAATTGAAAATCTGATTCTCGAGTAAGTGGGTCTGGTATACTGCTCTGAAAATAAACACAGTGTAATAATGGAAGGACTAAACCCAACATCTTTTCAGTTATGTAGCTGTTTCATTCTCTTTGAAACCCTGCTGGACATTTTCCTCATTAAAGTATTTTCAATGAATAGAGTTGTTTATTTTGTTCATGATGTTTTAATGCAGCTCTGAATAAAATCTGATGTGTAGACAGAAATAAAAGAGGTAAGTATATAAAACTGTTACATGTCAGAAAAGTCAGTAGTTCACTGTAACATAACAAACTGTTCAAACAGTACAACAAAATGGACACTCGTGATCTTCAGTGGGAGTCAGAAGAATTGGGTCTGGACCTTCTGTTTTCCTTTAACACATGAGCAACACAACAAGAGGTTCTCTGGTCAGATGATTTCACAACGACAAAGAGAAATCTGTCAGTTAGACATTTGTCTTCACAGAGACAGCCCCTGTGGAGAAAGGCTGAAGAAACTCCAGAGTTCAGAACATGTCTGAACGTAGCTTATCCACAACACAACACAACACAACACAACACAAGTCAGTTAAGTGTAGGTTGGTTGTCTGTCACTGTGAAGGCAGAGGTGAAGGTAATGCTGCAGGTTATAGTCCCAGGTTAGTTCTCAGAAACCATATGAGAAGAAATGGGTTTGACGTATACTTTTATTTATTTTGTTAGGCCCACATCCCATCCACTAACATGGAGGAGGTAGGATTTATGACCTGTTCCAGGTTCACTTTTTGGGAGCGCTCATCACGTCCATTTGTAAATACACTCATCTAACCATGGACGGGGTAACATTTCAACGCTAACATCACAGCTTCACCGTGTCAAGACGGTCACGATGAGTTTAGCCCAAAATGGATCTTGCCGAGTTTTCCCGGATGTCAGTGAACATGTCAGTCAAATCAGCTAACCAATGACAACGAGCAAGGTGAGTGAAGTTAACTGTGATTGGCTGAGAGTCGAGGGGGCGGAGCAGAGGAGTGAAAAGGAGGAAGTTTAGTTAGCTCCGTGCTAATGCTCAACCTGATAGGCCTCAGGTGTGTGTAGCGTGTGTTTGATCCTGTTCCAACCTCCTGAAACACCTGAAACACCTGAAACAAGGCCGCACACCTCCGTCCTCTGTAACTTCTGTCACGCTTCAGGAAACAGCCCATAATGTGTGAGTACCAACCACCTTCTCCTGTAGGTTTCACCTGGCTGGTCTGCGTGGTGTCATTGTTTAAAGGACAGAACTATGGAAACAAAGTCTCCACAACTAGAACATTTAAATCCTCTTTGAATATGTGTCTAGAATTTTATTTCTGAATTCAACTCTTGAAAATGTATCTCACTCATTTCACTGTTATTCTTTATTTACATTGTAAATAAATTCAGAACAAGACAGTTAAAGTCATATGTTCAAGTTGCTCTAATTCAACGTGTTAAATTCACATAACAAAATTCAAGTCAAATGAATTCAGACATTCCTCAACATTCAGATATACAAAGGATAAGCAATCGATTCTGTAGTCTGACCAACATCCAGCCAATCAAGTTACACCCCGCTGGTCATGTGACACTCGTGCTGTCACCCATTGGTTTGTGGTCTTTGGTTTGCTGCCACAGCTCACTGCAATCACGTTACACATGACTTGTATTGTAAGGCGTGTGCGTGTGTATGATAATTGGGCATTAAATATTCTGTAGTTCTGGGGGGGTGTTGTGTTGAGCTCTTAATATACGTGTTCGTTACACTGTAAAACTAGCTCCATGTTTGAACTACAAGGTCAAACTACATTTTTTTTGAAAATGTATAAAGTGTATAAAGATAAGACGACATAACAGCTCCCCGAATGAGAAGTGTAGTGTGTGTGCTGGTGCGATCCTTTTTCGGACTCTCCTTCTCCTTTTCGCTACTGCACAGACTCCAACTGTGCAAGATGGCAGTGTTCATATCCAAAATGTTTTGGCTTCATTTCTGGATAGTGGGAGGAAGTGGAGTCTAAGGCTGTTGTTTTTATCCGAAATTGAAACAGTCATTCGATTGTTGAAAATATAAAGTCCATATGTGCATCAGGCTTTCTGAAGTAGTTTGCCTCAAGATCCAGCAGAGGGCGCTCGCTGTCAGCTTAATCTATGTTGCATTGTTTTTCTGTGAAACTTGGGGATGCTAGCAAAGCGAAGCCATCGTAAATGGACAACCATGAAACCAACGCATCTGAATAGCACAGTAATGAAGCGTTTTGAGTTCTACATCAAAGTCACAAACAAAGGTGAGCTGTTTGTGACTTTGTACCATTCACCTGTGGGGATTCAAACATATTCTAATTAACTGAGTCTTTTCACATTCATTGAAATTGATTATTTGGCAGTCCATGACCTCTGACCTGAGGTTGTAACATTTCCACTAAGTGGACCTTGTGCTCATCATCTTTGTATTTTAGATGAATCTCCATATGGAGCATAGTGGGCGGCATACATAGTGAATTATGTGGGTTTCATTTATGAAGTACAGTGCAGGCATAAAAACCTCAGGAGACGGAAAATGGGAAGTTGAACATGGAAGCGGTGATAGTGTTAGTGAGGACGGAGAAGCAGAAGAATTCATTTAGTATTAAGATCATCTTTTTCATTGATTACAAAACAATACAGACTCACTTCAGAGAGTAAAACACAGACAAGACATTTCACGCTTTGCTTTGTTTATGAGTTTGTGAGTAGGAGCAAAAATCAGTTTCTTTCAGTATACTGTACAGGGAGTGTGTGTGTGTGTCTGTGTGTGTGCGTCTGTGTGTGTGTGTGTG